AGATCATATATGTATTATGAACGCAAAGTAAGGGAGGTCTCATTGGCTGTCTGCCTGCTACAGTGTGACAAAATAATTACCCTGCCTTGAATAAGCATGTGTTTTGTTAAAAAAAAAAAATCCCATTATTTCCATGGTAATAAAGTAGAAAGATTTCATATGGGTTTCTACTGTGTCTTTTAAAATTTCTATTTCTGCTCTGAGCGTTATTTTTATATTCACGGAAGATACTGAAATTGCACTTTAAGGTTTAAAAGAACTGTTAAACAGGAACAATTTTCTAAAAGCGAGGTGATACTCCGTATTTTGCACAAAGTGCTTTGAATATAAAATGTTTTTCCGGGAGAGAAAGGGAGCCGTAGTGAGGAGGGAAACGCAGCCGCTGCTTCCTCGTAGGCTGCGGGCGGCTGGTGAGGAACGGGCTTGTGTGCTCACCTAGCATTTGTCCTTTTTTCCTGTTTGGCTTTTTTTTTCTCTCAGTACAAGGCATTGAACCCAGAACCTTCACACTGAGCTACATCCTCAACCTTCAAAAGAAAATTCTCCTGGAGACAGGATCAGAAGTCACTAAATTGCTCAAGCAGGACTTGAACTTGTGATCCTCCTGCCTCATCTTCCCAAAGCGCTGAGATTACAGGCGTGTGCCACCCACGGCAGGTGTGCGTGCATGGAGGCAGGACACGTGACACGGGACCAGGGACGGGAAAGCAGGCAGCACCTGGCACGGAAGGGCTCAGCCTCCCCACGTGTCCGTGCGACAGTCACTCGAAACGACAAATCCACCAGAGAATTTAGGAAAGACATAGAGGCACGGATTGCACACGGGGCAAGGGTACCATCTGTAACCTGCCCGCTGCTGTCTGCACCACTGCCCATCCACTAGAAGTCTCAGTCGAGGTCCCCACTACGATTCCACCTCTCTCTTTCCCCAGAATGGCGCTGGCCGGGCGAGGGGTTGTTCACTGCTGTCTTTGCAAGGAGAGGGAGCGCCCGTCTTAATTACATCTTGGTAATCTCTTTTTAATTACTTGCTTCCTCTGCGTCCCCTGGAGGACCGGGGTGGCTGGTATCCTATTTAATGAGCTTAAGGACAATGCATTCCCGACCCCTGTTAGTTGTTACTCTCTTCCCTTCTATCAAACCAACCCTGGGATTAAACCTCAGAAGGCTTCGTGCTGCATGAGCTGCGTTTCTCCCGCAGCCTCCCTGCTGCTCCAGTCACCCCGGCTCCAGGGTCGGCGGTGGAGGTCCTCTGTGGCCCAGAGCGAGGCAGCGACTTCTCTGCAGCAAGGGGTGCGACGCCCCGGTGGCCCACAGCTGCTCTGACGGCCGGTGAACAGGACACAGAAAGTCCCCGTGTACACTGACTGGCCGTGAGCAGGGCGGCTGTGGTCACTGGTCGCACGGGCTTCACTCCGTCCTTCACCCGGGAGCCCCTGCCCCCAGCCTGGCCGCCTGGTAAATTCACACGCGGCGAGGGGTCCCCATCCTCCTGGGCGGGTTGGGGTTGGAACCACTGAGCCCCTAGAACGCAGCTGGCACCAGCGGCAGTGCCCGGGACCAGCCCACCTCACCGCTTCCTCTCTGAGCTCATCGTGCAGGCCGTGGGCAAGGTGCTTCCAAGGTTGAGGGCAACTCCCCATGAAGGAGACCGGGAGGAAGGGCTGCTGGGGTTTCGAAAGTGAGGCCTGGTCCTCAGGTGCTGGGCAGGCATCTGGATCAGCAGCCTGGGCACCAGAACCAGCCCGCCTTCGCCTGCTGCCCGCCACTTCTCCCTGTGGTGCCCACAGTACTGACTGCGCCCCTCCAACCAGTCCTGTGCAGGACCTTGGCACAACTCCACCGTCCCCCTCACCGCCAGGCCCTCCCTCCGCCATGGCACACGGAGCCCGACGCACGACACAACCTGGCACTCTTCCTTGTCTGTGTCCCTGGAAGGCACTGGCTGCATTTGTCCGTGCTGCACCCCGAGCAGTGCGGAGGGAGGAAGGGCCTGAGGACCTGACCAGCACCCAGCAGGTCTCGGATGTGGCCAGGAGCGGTTACTTAGGAAACGAGGGCAGGCTGGGCCAGAGGTGGGAAGGCGCAGGCTGAAGAATCAACAGTGGCCACCGGTGGGGGCCTCGGGGCTCAGGATCGGGGGTGGGGTGGATGGAAAGTCAAATGATCTGCTTTTAAATTTTCCCCAACAATTCCATTTTATTTCAACTGTGATATAAATAAAAAATGTTTTCTTAAAAAAGACACACACACACACACACACACACACACACAGACTCACAGGAGTGTGGAAAATCCCAGGAACTCTAAACCCAGCGGCACAGGCAGCGCACTCCCCACCCTCCCCAAGGGCTGGGCGTAGCACAGGGCGAGGGAGAGGCTCGGAAGATGTTCATGGGGTCGTTCCCCAGGGGTTCTGCGCTTCTCTTCCAAATTATCAGCACATCCCAAAGACAGTATGAGGGATAAAGGACTTCCACAAATACTAGCTGAAGCCATACGCAATTATCAATATCCAATCATTAAAGATTTTAAAATGACGATTTCCTATGGTTTAACTCAGCAGAAAAGAAATATTTAAAATATATATAAGGGGCTGCTTTTGAGATCAATAAAAAATACTCCTATCCTTTGGCCCCGTGTATTTTATTTCTTGGGAAAGAATCCAGAATGTGGATATAGATTTACATATAAAGTGCTCACTGCGGTATAAATTACAGTGGCAAAGACTGGGGGGAAACAATCTACGTGTTTAAAAATAAGGGAGTCAACGGAATGCTTTGTAGACATTGTAACTGATGTTTGGCAAACCTCTAAGTGACACGGTGTAATATTACATTAAGTGAGAAAAGATAAGAAGCCCAATAATGTCAGTCTGAAAAAAATGCAAAGCATTAAAAATAGAAAAAAAGAAAAACACCAGAACCTCAGATCCCTGAGGCAATGCAGCGCACAGAATGGACCTGAGCCCTGAAGCGGGACCTGCCCTCCTCTCCTTCCTGGGGTACCAGGTGGTTATGGGGCTTCTTGGAGCCTGCTTGTCCCCCTCCTTGCCGGCGACAATGACTGTACAAGGGCTCAGTGCTCATCAAGTAGCGGCTGAGGCTTTTCCTGTCATCACACCGGCACTATGGGGTCCGGACGACTGCTTTTATATATTTCCCTACATTTCCCAGACTTTCTGCAGAGAACACGCATCGCTTTTAAAATAGTAGAAAGTATTAACATTGAAACTATCGAAGCTCACTGTAAACAAAGGGCCCAGACAAGTCACTGACCAGGCGGAGGTATCTGCAACTCACACAGCAACAGACGACTAGAGTTTTTGCCGGGAATTTGCGGAACAGGAAACCTGGTTGGCTGACAGCTCAAGTTCACCTACGACCAGAGCCGGAGGGCTGGCGGGGCTGGGGCACCTCAGGGGCTCCCTGGACTGCAGGGGAGACTGCCCTGGTAGGAGGTACCAGCAAATCCGCTGCAGCAGCCCCCATGTGCTGCTGGTGGTGCCTGACTGTAAGGGAAGAAACTGAGGACGGTGCACACACTCAATCTCTCCAGTACCGAACGGCAGCTCACTCTTTCACAAGAACAGGCTCACTGAATAGGCTTTTTATAGTCGCTTCAGCGAATGAACTAAAGCCAACGTATTAACACGCGTACATCTTAAATACATAATACTCAGCAAGAAAAACCTACATGCAGCAAGCATTCAATATAACAGCATTTATGTAAAGTTTGAAAACGTAACAATAGTACGTATATTCAGGAGTGGCCCTCTGAATGGTAAAATCGGAAAAACAAATCACAGAAGGCGAGAGTTTAGGACCCTGGAGGCAGGAGCCAGATCTCTTGGATTCACAGACTAGATCTGCCACTCAAGTGCTGGGTGACTATGTGTTAGTTACCCAGTGTCTCTGTGCCACTGTCCAGGATCCATAACACGGGACTATTAATAGCTTGCACCTCATAGCGCTACCGAAAGAATGAGATGCCCAGCAGCTGTCCCAGGAGGTACCCCAGGGTGCTTGTTGCTGTTTCAGTTATTAACCTCAACTCTTAAGAAAGATCAAGAGGTCTGCTCTGGCAGCCTCATTTCCAGGAATTTCTCCTGGATAAACGATCAAGTGCTCGTGTGCTGCAGTATTTATCATCCCATTTGACGTAAAAGCGGGCGACTGGAAATGGCAGAGCCAGCCATGGGGGATCTAGACCCCTTCCCGCCAGTCTGCGGGGATGTAGCTGATGCAGCAGCTCTGACTTTTTCACCCGTTTCTTCTCCCTTTCCTTCCACAAACGCAGGGACCAAGGCACCAGTGTGTCCCTGCTCCCCCCGCACAGTGCCCTGCCCAGGATGGCGGCTGAAGACATGGAGCACCTGGTTGCCGTCAGGCTGGGCCCGCGGCTGGAGGCGTTGGTCCGTCTGTGGGCAGAGACGAGAGCTGGCCTGGGGATGATGCTGCGTGCAGCCTGAGAGGGCGGGTGGCAGGAAGGGTGGAGAGCCCGGCGACCAGCTGCCCTCCTCCCGGGAGCCCTCCCTGGCTCTCCTGGGCACCTCTCCTCCCACTGCCAGCCTCTGCCAACCCACTACCTCCTCGCTCACCCTTCCTGGCCTCTGCCACCCACGGAGGGGCCCACGGCTCTGCATGGGATCACCTTGTGGGATCTAAGAGTCCTTGGAACGCTAAGCTACCAGACAGAAGCAAGCTCCCAATCCTCTCTGGAATGAAATGAAATGAAATGAAATAAAATGAAATAAAATAAAATAAAATAAAATAAAATAAAATAAAATAAAATAAAAATCTTTCCAGTAAAGAGAAGATACACATTCACTTTCCAATACTCTATGTAGAATTCGTACCTGAGTTTTCATTTCCAGTGAGCTAATTATTTAAGGTGACTGCCAACTTATCGGATCCTCTTTTAGTCCATTACCCATTTGGTAAAAACTACTTTTAGCTTCTCCCTTCACAAGGAGATGCGCACGTGCGCAGACGCCTCACCTCCTCTAGGAAACAGCCGAAGTTCTCGAGAAAATACTTCCAGTGTATGTAGGGCATTAGATGAATTCTTAGTTTCCTCAAAAAGTAATGGTACTGGCTGTCTGTCAGCTTGTAGCAGAAGTCCTTAAGGACTTGTCCGAAATCTGCAGCCTTTAAAAACCCTGTGTCCTCTTTGTCCAATGCGGAAAATGCCTAAAAAAAATTAAAGAAGAAAAAGATAGCAAATGCTACTGTCAAGTGAATATTTCAAAACGATTTTCTTTGAGCATCACTTATGCAGAATGCGAATGAAATCTGGGTTACACGAACTTGGGCAGCAAGCTCTGAATTACTAAGTAAATGCTCCCTTGTCGGAGGACTAAGACAACGGGATGTGTGCCAGGACTAGAGCATCTCGGGCTGGAAGTTCATTTCTTTTGTCCATGTGGGGCCAGGAGGAAGAAGGTGAAGGGCAGCCCAGGCCTGGCACCTCCTCTTCCAGCTCCTGGGACCTGCTCACCAAGGACAGGACAGCAACCTGCTCAGGACTCCTGGCCTTTCTGCACAGTGCCTAGGACAGGAGACTCAGGAGGGACCCAGGGCACGGGGCAGGCGGCTGACTCGGCAGTCAGGTGGAGGGTCATGAGTGGGTCCCGTCCAAGCCCCAGCCCAGGCTTCTCCGCTGAGACTGTGTGGCCCCGCTTCCCTGTGACCACGGGCTCATGAGCACCCTGCTGCCCAGCCTGGTGGGAGGGGCTAGGGCCAACCTGTGTATCCAGCCTCGGAGTAGTCGAACTGAGAAAGTGCAAAAGTGTGCTATAAAAAGAAAGCACATTTTTTCCATCTGTCGAAACAAAATCATTCATTTTTATTGCACTAGGAAATCTGTATGAAGTGGTACATGAAGATCTTTTTTTAAAGTACGAATTTAATGTGCCTGCAAACCCCAAACCCTATTTCCTCCCTGTTAATTCTCATTCTGGGCTAATGAGGTGCACCCCAGGGCAGGGTAGATGTGCGACCAAATTAACCTTACTGTGCTATGCAGTGGCACCTCAGTTCCGCCGGAATCGTGCAACGAATTGAGTTCGTGAACCAGGGTACCACTGAGTAGCTTCAGAATTGTATTTCACCTGCAGTAACAGGACACGGCGATGGACAGTGGAGGCCCCCAGGCCCTGGGATCAGGAACTGGGCTTTGAACCTGGGCTGTGCTCTCAACCTCAGTCCCCCACCTCTCTGGAGCTCAGCTAAAGGTGGAAGAGCTCGGAGGGTGGCTGTGAGCCTTACAGAGTTTACTGGAAAATGCACGTTAGGTACCTGATACATACTAGATTCTCAACATGTACTAAGAATATCATAAAAATGTACTAAGAATATCATAAAAAATGCCAGGTGTAGTGGTACATGCCTGTAGTCCTGGGTAGTGTAGTGACTTAGTAAGACTGTGTCAGAATTTAAAAAAAAAATTAAAAAGGGCTGGGGATGTAGTTCAGTGTGAAGGCCCTGGGTTCAATCCCTAGTGCACCCCCAAATATGGTAAACCAAGGAGTCTGTTGTACGAGGACACTGGAGAGCCCACAGGAGCATCATCTGTGATGTCCAGCGGACCTAAGAGGCCACTGTGCTCCAGGTCTTTCTATGCGGGATCCAGGCTGCCAATAATCAATTGTGAAAATGCTTCGGAATCTGTAAACTGCTCCCTGACAAAGAGGCACAGGTCTGTCACAAGCACACGTCGCGTGTCCCCTCTGAGGGCCATCCTAAGATGCTGGATGGCCCCTACCCCGCCCAGTGCCCCCTCTCCTGCAGCCCATCTCCCACACTCTCCCTGGAGCACCTTCCTGTCCCCTGGGACACTCCTCGATTCATAGAGAGAGCACCGCTCCTCCCAAGCTCCGTGAAGTCAACCGGGGCCACTTTCGATCACAAGGGGACACAGCCAGCCTGAGGATGGGTTTATCTGGCTTTCACAGCACCTTTGAAAACCCTCATGGAGGTGCTGACATTTGGAAATCAGGAGACTTCGGAGCTCCTCTTGGGAATGATGAGATCTGGCGACGGCTGGTGCTTTCCACCCAGCACGGCCCAGCAGCGGGGCGGGGACTGCCTTGGGCAGGGCCTGGCGGCTGCCATTCAGTCCACTTCCAGTCCCCGGGACATCTGAGTCTGCTGGGCTTGTGAGGTGGCTGTTAGCAGGGCAGCCTTGGGACGTGGAAGGCCCGGTGGCCTTCAGGTTCACGAGGTTTCCCAGAGGGCAACACACGCTCACTATTTCTTTTGATGACCAGTGGGGACGTGAAGATGTTGAACCCCCACAGAGGACACCTGGACGCTCCCCACGTCTGCTGTCTGGGACAGAGGCCAAATTCTCCGGCGTCTCCCAGGCTGGAGGGCCCTGTCTGCCCCTCTGCTCTTCTCCTCGGCCAGCCCTCGCACCCCACCTCTACACTGAAGAGACAGGATATGGTTTCCAAAACAAGTCCCCACCCCAGGAGGGAGGCGGCCCTCTCCCGGCCGGCCTTGAGCTGTCCTGGCCCACTTTGAAGAGTCTTGTAAAGGGCGTCTGGTCTTGAGGGTCTTTGAAATGCAAGAGACTAAAGTCCATCCTCTTAATACATTAGGAAAGCTGGGCATGGTGGTGTGCGCCTGTAATCCCAGCACTCAGGAGGCTGATGCAGGAACACTGCCACGAGTTCGAGGCTAACCTGGGCTACATAAGTGAGTTTAATGCCAGCCTACACTACATAGTGAGACCCTGCCTCGAAAAAAGAAAAAAATAGAAAATAAAAAACAAAAAATCAGGAGAGTAAAAGCACATCTCAAGGAAAGGTCTGTGGGACTTTTGTTCTTGGAGCCTCCTAGATTTGGAAAAGGTCTGGGACACGTTCCTTTCCCTTCCTGCCCGTGCTCCTAGCTCTGCCACACAAGACCCATCGGACCCTGGGTAAGCTTATTCGCCCTGAGCTCAGTGTCCCCTGGAGAACAAATCAACAGCCCTGCCTCACATGGCTACGGTCACAGAGGAAAGGGGCTGCTCAGGGTTGGTGGCCCATCACAGTCCCCAGGGAAGGAGACTGGCTGCTGGTGGAGCTCTGGAAGCCCCCTTTGCAGTACATCACGGGGCCAGGGTCCGAGGACCCTGAGGTGGGGCCGGGGTGCCCCCACTCCTGAGGCTCCAGGCAGACCTTTCCTTGTCTGACAGTGGCTGCCGGGCTGTGTGCACCCCATGTCCTGCAGGAGGCCCTGAGGCACCTCGCTGCTGCCACAGAAGGAAACTCTCCTGGGGCCCAGCTCGGGGGACAGGGGCCAGGAGCGTGGTCCAAAAGCGCTGTCGCCAAGGACATGGCCCTGGTCAGTAGCATCATTCCACGCACACCGGTGCTTGGCACCCTCCTGAGTGCCACACCAATGTAAGTTGTAAAGTGACAACCACCCCCGTGACCCGGCCTCCCGCCACCTGTGCGCCGGAGTCGCTGTTCGGCACAGCCCCCGGCTCAGCCCCTTCACGGCCACCTGTGTCTCTCACCTCCCTGGGCCCAGTGCTCGGCCGCACCGAAAGCTCATGGACGTGTGAGGTGCTGTCACCCAAAGGCCTCTGTCCTCTTTGCCGGGAAGCCCTGGGTTTCACCCACCCAAAGAACCTACTGCAGCCTGAGCGCTTCGGCCCCCGAGAACACACACCAGGCAGAATCGGGGTGCTTTACAGAGCAGGAATGCAAGTGCAGTTGTTCAAAGGAATAATCCCATTGTGATCAGCCAGACCCGGAGGGAGGGCCGGGTGGAGGGGGCTGGGTGCCCTGCGCGGCTGAGAGGTGTTCACGCAGCGAAGCGGGCGCCGTACCTGTAACAAGGCCAGCTGGGAGGCGCTGACCACCTCCTGGATGCTCTTCACCACCGCCTCCGGGTTCACTGTGGAGAAGTTGACCGGCACACTTTCTTCTTTCTCTCTTGGCTGGGGTCTGCTTGCCTTGCCCTTCTCCAAGGCTCTCAAGAAGTCAAGGTAATTGATGGTACTATCGTGGCAGATGATTCCCAAACTTGTCCCCACCAAAAAGAAAAGGAGACATTAACTTTAAAAATTCGGTCCTTTGGTTATTCATTCACCAAACAGTCGCTGAGCACAAAGCAGAGTGGAGACAGCAAACGGTTTCACGACACAGTTCCCTGCCCGCTGCCATTAGACCGGCACACAAACGTGGCCAGAGAAGGGGACCAAGTGCGGGCCACGACAGGCGAGCGGGGGCCACGCCACAGGCGGCCTGTCCTGAAGGCCTGTCCTCAGTGGACGGCAGTGCCGTCAGCCCAGAGAGAGGAGACAGTGAGAGGAACCAGGCAGACAGCGGGACTGAGGCGGGGAGGTGACATTTGTGGAGCGGTCCCATCGGATGGGGTCACAGCTGACAGTGACATCAGAGATGGCCTAGAAGTGAGACTGTGGGGTGGTGGGCAGCAAGGGACATGGACAGGAGCTCCTGTGGCCTCGGGCCTTAACCGATGAGGCCTTACAGAGCTGGGAAAGAAGGAGGCAGCTTGGGGACCGTGGAGAGGACAAGACGGACCGAAGAAACTGGATGTTAAATTCCTCATCAAAAATGGAAGGAAGGAAGCTGACACACCAACAGCTCTCCAGAGATATCTGTCCAAGACTTGCATAATGTAATACTTTCTCAAAAGGTCCATTTCCGTGCCCATCACCAGCAGGACATCCGTGTAGACACAGAGACTCCCCAGGGCCAGCCCGGAAGAAACGGCCGCTCCATCCTG